CCTATTCCTTATGTGACTGTAAAATGTATTTGTATATATTTATATTTTTATATCTTGGCAAAAATACTATTCTGATTAAAATGCACATTCATACTTTGTTTCTAATTTAATGTGATTGGCAGAAGATTTTTTTTTTTAAGTTCTCTAAAAAAAATGTTTCAAAATTCCATCATTAAAAACTACACAAAATGACTCAAGAAAAACTAGTGTATAAAGAACTGTTGTTGACATGGTTCTGAAAATCCACAAGTACCAGCTCCTCACTTTCTCCCATGCTGGCTCCCTTCATAGAAAGGGGCTGGGACCATGGGGGTGGGAGGGGTGGGAAGGGGCTAGCTCGGCCTCTTTGATGTCACCAGCCCACCATAAATGGAAATGAAATAATGGTGGCCAAAACCAACCCAGTAAGCTGGTTTGCATAGTCATTGCTTGTCATAAAATATTATGATGCCAGACCATGAGGAATACATATCCAGTGCTCATTCATCCCATGGTCTATTGGGGGCCATTGCATGGGCCTCCATGCTCACTTTTTAAATTCTCTTTTTTTCTAACATGTCTAAATTATACAGATTTTTTTTCTAGTATAGTAAGTTTTTGGTTGTCCCTAACAACTGAGCAGTAAATTTAACCTACTAATTACTTTTTTCTATTTTGCCTTTAATAACAGTAGTTAACATTTACCAAAGGTTTATTTGTGGCAGGAGTTGTTCTAAGTCCTTTGCGGATGTTAGTTTATGTAGTTTAATTAAATAATTAATTCCAAGAGTATTTCCATTGAACAGATGTGGACCCCAGGTCCTGTGTTCTGAACCAAACCCCAAGTCAGGCTTCCAGCCACCATGCCGTGTTGTCTTACTCTCTAGATTTCAAACCTAATGTTATTCTGTTAATAAACAGGAAGGTCATATGAAATCATTCTGTTCAGCAGTTGATTCTATTTTAAATAAAGCTCTAAAAACTTTTTATAATACTCTCTGTCTTCCAAGGTGGTTGTAAGCCCTCTGCACAGGTGTGAATTCATTTAATCCAGTCCTGTGAGGGGTGGCACAGTTGTTATTCCCACTGTCTGAAGAAGGAAATGGAGACCCAGAGATGCTGAGTAGTCTGACAGAAATTCAGGATGTGGGCAATGAATATGCCAATTATTGCCATTCTTTTAACATTCTAGTCCTGCCACCACTGTTTGCCTTCGAATAAATGACTTTATCTTTCTAATTCTTAGTGACCTCATGTATAAATAAAGGAGGGGGGCTGATTCTGTCATCTCTTAAGATCTGTTCAACAAATGCCACAAAGTTGACTTTAAAACAGCTTTGTCTGTGCCAGTCTGAAGACTTAAATGCAAAGTCCAGATTTTAACTGGCTGTGCATTCTGATTCTTCCCCTAGGGGCTAGCTCGGCCTCTTTGATGTCACCAGCCCACCATAAATGGAAATGAAATAATGGTGGCCAAAACCAACCCAGTAAGCTGGTTTGCATAGTCATTGCTTGTCATAAAATATTATGATGCCAGACCATGAGGAATACATATCCAGTGCTCATTCATCCCATGGTCTATTGGGGGCCATTGCATGGGCCTCCATGCTCACTTTTTAAATTCTCTTTTTTTCTAACATGTCTAAATTATACAGATTTTTTTTCTAGTATAGTAAGTTTTTGGTTGTCCCTAACAACTGAGCAGTAAATTTAACCTACTAATTACTTTTTTCTATTTTGCCTTTAATAACAGTAGTTAACATTTACCAAAGGTTTATTTGTGGCAGGAGTTGTTCTAAGTCCTTTGCGGATGTTAGTTTATGTAGTTTAATTAAATAATTAATTCCAAGAGTATTTCCATTGAACAGATGTGGACCCCAGGTCCTGTGTTCTGAACCAAACCCCAAGTCAGGCTTCCAGCCACCATGCCGTGTTGTCTTACTCTCTAGATTTCAAACCTAATGTTATTCTGTTAATAAACAGGAAGGTCATATGAAATCATTCTGTTCAGCAGTTGATTCTATTTTAAATAAAGCTCTAAAAACTTTTTATAATACTCTCTGTCTTCCAAGGTGGTTGTAAGCCCTCTGCACAGGTGTGAATTCATTTAATCCAGTCCTGTGAGGGGTGGCACAGTTGTTATTCCCACTGTCTGAAGAAGGAAATGGAGACCCAGAGATGCTGAGTAGTCTGACAGAAATTCAGGATGTGGGGCAATGAATATGCCAATTATTGCCATTCTTTTAACATTCTAGTCCTGCCACCACTGTTTGCCTTCGAATAAATGACTTTATCTTTCTAATTCTTAGTGACCTCATGTATAAATAAAGGAGGGGGGCTGATTCTGTCATCTCTTAAGATCTGTTCAACAAATGCCACAAAGTTGACTTTAAAACAGCTTTGTCTGTGCCAGTCTGAAGACTTAAATGCAAAGTCCAGATTTTAACTGGCTGTGCATTCTGATTCTTCCCCAGATATCCCCAACAGTGGTTTCCAGAAAGGAATCAAGCAGGATGCTAAAAACGTAGACAATATTTTGATGGTCTCTAGAAATGCCAGCTTCAGCCTGGCATATGCCAACACATACAGATAATCCTCAACACTTTGTAAATCCTGGCTCCACCAGGCACCAGCTGTGTAACCTGGGTGAGTACTCCATCATGCCTTGTGTCTTTCTCTGTAAAGTGGGTGTAATAATAACCCTATCTCCATAGAGCTGAGTGAGGGCTGAGTGGGGAGTTACTGAGATCTATGTCTAGAGTGTACAGAAGATAACTTTGTCCATAGAAAGTAGTAAGTAAACATTTAACATTATTATTGCAGAAGATCTCTGCCCCTGTGAACAGGAAGGATCATGTATCACTCTGATCATAACTGCAGAGGACTCCTTCTGAGGTCTGATGACAGCCTAGCTCCTTCCAAGATTTGGAAAATTGGGCTCATCCTTTATTTCCGGGTTAAAAAAAAAAATCCATTTAAATTGCTCAGTAGTTAAAAGAGATGTGACTTGATACAGAGCTAAATTAGTTTGCTGAAGTTACTCAATTTCAGAGGGCCTGTGTCCAGATCAATGTGAGCTAGAAGTTTTTATTTAATCTGATTAATATCATGAGGCAATCAGCGTTGTTAAGTCCAGGCAATTGGTGGGACTGAATTTTCTGAAGTTTATAAGATATGAATGTTCTGCCCACCCATATTTAGTCAAACTAAGCGGCTGTGGGTTTATTATTTGCTAAACAAATGTCTGATGGTGCATTTTCTGAGGACCAGGAACAGCATTTTAGAGCACTAGAATGTTTTTCCTTTTAGACAACTCATCAGATTATCTCAGTATATGAAGTACCCAGGGTGCAAGATAATTGAGAAGAAAAATGAGGAAATTTTTAAATACCTTGGTTAAGGGCTATAAAATAATTGAGACTTGAAATTTAACACTACCTGAAGGTATGGTTTTGTTTGTCAGTCTTATTAGTGGAAACTCACTTTTGCTCTATGGTAGAGTCAAACAAATTAATCCACAGTTTTAAAGTGTGTTATGAGCATAATGCAGATTCAATCTGGGAGTAAATTAGGTCCTTTAAAAATTGATCACAGAATGTGACACTAAATGGAGTTGACAAAGTATTATGTTCACTTGGCAAAGTTGTCTGTGTAAATATGATAGGATTGTATCCGGGACAAAACAAATACCCTGAATTTAAGTAAAGCTTTTAGAGCTGAAGGCAATCATAGAGATTATATCATCCACCAGAGGCCCAGAGGGATTAAGCGATTTGCCTAAGGTTACACAGATAGTAAGTGGATCTTCCAGATTTGAGCCCAGGCTTTCTAGAGTTTAGTGCGAGGGAGGCCCACTCTCCTCCAGCATGCATTCAGACACTGTTATCATGATGACAGTCTCAGTAACTGCTGTCTTTGAGTACTGCTCTGAACCAAGCATTCAATCAGGCTCTGTCCACATAACCTCCTCATCCCACCCCTCATAGCTCTATGTGGGATGTCTGGTGGTTTTTAGCAGCTCAGTCGTGTCCGATTCTGCGACCCCATGGACTACAGCCCACCAGGCTCCTCTGTCCATGGGATTCTCCAGGCAGGAATACTGGAGTGGGTTGCCATACATTTCCTTTTTCAAGGGATCTTCCCAACTCAGGGATCCAACCCTCGTCTCCTGTGTCTCCTGCATTGCAGGCAGATTCTTTACCCACTGAGCCATTGGAGTAGCCCTTGGTATGTCTAGTTATCCCCCTCTTATAGATGAGATCACAGAGACCCAACATTTGTGACTTGTTCATAGCTACACAGCCAGCAAATGCCCAAAGCTGGGGTCCAGCTTCACCCCTGAATCTGCATCCCATCCCCGGGACCCACTGCTTCACCCCTGGGGGTCAAGAGGACTGCATCTTTGACAAGATTTTCCTTGAAAATCAATATTTTAAATTCCTGCAATGCTAGCCTCAGCTGCCCTAACTAGAGAACCTGTCTCTGAGAAGCTGAAAAAAAGTCACACCATTCCCAAGAGGCTGAGCTCACCCTCCATAGGAGAGGACATCAGACTGGTACACTAATTATTGTGTTTGTCTACTGGTCTTGAAAACTAACTAATTGACTTTTAATAATATCAGGCATAAACAACCTACCGCGTTATTAAAACATGACCTGCTAGTCTATGTAGGCCATGGATTCAAGACCTCGAATTTAAAAGCAAAAATCAAAGTTAACTGCCAAGAGGATGGCAGGAGAACATGAAGCCTGGGTACTCTGTAGATTAATCCTAAAGGTAAACTAGAAGCATTGTTGAAAATTACTGTTTATTTAATATTTCATTTCAAAGAGATGCTCCCAAATGTTCAATTCTATTCTGTATTTAAAAGTTAAAAATATGCTTGAAATGACTGAGGATGGCGCTGAATCACAGTAGTAGTGTAATTATATAGCAAAATATCTTAGGTTTACCAGCTGAACTGCCCCATGCTTTCTTTACATGTGTTAAAGTATTAGTTACAAGGCAAAATGAGGCAATATTATGTTTAACTGTTTGTTTGGAAACTTGTTTTATTAAAAAAAGATTTTTTTCATGGTAATGCTATTTTCAGTACAGGTGTGATAATACTCCATGAAGTATTGTGTACTTGATATAGTGAATTGAGGAATGTAACAGTCCCACTCGATGCTGGCCCCTAGTCTCCATGAGATACCCTAGTAGCAAAATGTAAATACCCTTTTCAAAAATAAAGAGGCCTTCGGGTGGTGGGATGAACAGACAGGGGTGGGGCAGGGAACTGTGATCTCTTCAGACAAACTCATGCTTTTGGCTTTGACTTCACTGAGTAAAATCAGTTCTCAGAGAACTGAGACAAACCCTTCTATGCTCCCCAAAAGCACAGAAGGAAGAAAGCTTGTCATTCACGAGCAGCTAGGGACAAAACCAGCAGCAGAGTACAGGTCAGGGGAATTAGAGATCCAAAAAAAAAAAGAAAAGTTGGAGTAAAGTGCAGTTACTGTCAAAAATATATTATTTTGATCCTCAGAAAATTAAGAGAATTTTATCTAAGGAACTAGATTGCTGACCTTTTAATACATTTGGTTTTCAGAGAACATACAATCACCATCGGACCTATAAGACTAGTTTGCTTTGAAAAAAAAAATTGCTTGGAATTATCTACAGGAAATCTCGTGAACGCAATTCAAGGCTAACATTCTGCAGCTCTTTGGGTAGTGGGCGATTTCCGCGGATAAACCCCCTGATTCCTGCGGGCATTTCTCCTATCTTCTCTCTCTTGCTAAATGCCAGCACTCTCCAGTTCTCCGTCCTCGACCCCTGAGGCGTGAGACCGGGAAATCATGTAGAGTTTCTCCTTGTTTGTAAACTGCCTCTGCACCGGCTGGGAGAGCTCGGCCTCGGGGGCCTCCTGACCGGGATCCTCCGGGGGTCTCTGCTCCGGCCGCGGGGCGGGGGCGTCCCCCCCGTCTGGGTTTCCACCGGCCCCCAGGCCCCCCATCGACTCCAGGGAGGTGCCGGTCTCCCGCAGGGGAGTGTAGCCCTTACGGCTGCAGGACGGGTCATCGGACTGGGAACTCGGCGAGTCCGGCCGGGCGGGGGGCTCCGGGGAGGCCGCGAGCTCCGGGAGGCTGGAGTCCAGGTCCGCGCTGCGCGGGGCGGGTGGGGGCTCGGGGGACTGGGCCGCCCGGTAGTCCGGCAGCCCGCTGGTGCTGCGGCGCCGCAGGGCCGCGTGCCTGCCGGTTGTGGGGCCAGGCGCCGCGGGCCAGCATCGCTGCCGCCCCGAAGGCATCCCCGGCGGCGCCGCCATGGGTCCCGGGCTTCAGCTCCAGGCTCCGCGACTGCACGTAGCCCAGGAAGCCGTTCAGCGGCGCGGCCCCGGGGGGCGCCGAGGCGGGGCCGGAGGACGAGGCGGCGGCCGCCAGGTCTTTGGCGCGAAGGCTGTGCACGTCGATGACGGTGGAGTAGAGGTCCCGCAGGTTGATGATCTTGGTCTCCTTGTCCCTGTTCTCGTGGAGCACGGCGTTGGCGCAGATGAAGAGGAAGATGCCGATGCCCATGATGAGGGGCCCGAAGACCTTGAGCTTGTCGGAGTGCAGGTAGCCCGAGAAGACGCGGAAGAAGAAGCCCACCGACGTGGAGGACGACGGAGAAGGGGCGGGGGACCGCGCTGGGGGCGTGCTCCGGGGCGCGCCCACCGAACTGGCGGTAACACCTTCCGGAGGCCCCGGCTGGGTCCTAGACCGGTTTCTGCTGCCCCCGCTGCTGCTGTTGGTCACGGAAGGGACGCGGTGGCCGCTGCCCCCGGGCGGCGACGGCGGCTGCTTAGCCCCCTCCCGGTGGGCCCCGTTGGCCTTGGGCCAGTAGCCCACCACCGCCAGGGCGATGCCTACAAGCAGCACCACGATCCCGCAGAGGGCGATGAGCCCAGAGACGGAGCACAGCTTCAGCTTGCCCTTCACCACCACCACGTCGTTCTTGCGCCTCTTCTTGGCTTTCCGCTTGCGCTTGGGGACCTGGCCCGGGGGCCGGAGGGGGTCCTGCTTCCGGGCGGAGATCCTCAGGAGGCCGCCGGTGGCGATCATAGCGAGCGGTGGAGAGTGGGGCTAACCCGGGGCCGGAGGCCTGTGCGGGGGGCAGGGGGGGCACCAGCTGCCCACTAGCCGCTCCTCCACCTCCTCCTGCTGCAAAGCAGAGGAAGACAGTCAGAGGGTGTAGGCTTGGCTGCGGCAACATCCCACGCGCTCTGCCATAGTCCGGCTCCGGGATCCCAACACGTGTGCGCCCCCCCACCCCCGCCCCATCCCACATCCCGAGGCCATGACCCACTAACAGGAGTGCCCTACGTGGAGACCATGGGGTGCGGGCAGTAGATTAGGGACGAGAAGTGCTGTTGCGGTAACTGATCCGAGACGGTTAAAAACACTTAGAGAGGACGTCTTCTTTACTCCCCCATCCCCCAAACACTGTAGGTACTATTCCAGCAGTGCTCATTTCAAAAGCTCCAGGCTGACAGCCAACGGAGTTCTGACCATGAGTGAAAACTAACGTGGGGACTCAGCGCTCGTGGGCCACGGGCTCTCCTGGTCTCCCAAGGGGGGGCGCCCCAGACTTCCAAGTCTCTTAACTGAGAGGAGGGTCTGTCTGTCTGTGGGGCCTTCAAAGTCCCTGAAACAGTCAAAAAAGTTACCGATTCATAAAGACAAAAGAAAGTCCTTTCACTGGACGGAAATGAAAAGTCACATCCTGGCAGACGGCTTATTTACCCGAGGTAATTAATAAAGAGTTCACGGCTGGGGGAACACCTGAGAGCGGTGTCAGTACTCCGACCATGAATCCCTTCACCAGCTTGTCTCCAAGCCATCATTGTTCTCATAGCTCCAAGCAAGCTGATCCTTCTCACAGCGCCTTCCCTCATCTCTTTGCTGCAACATCTGGACAGCTTCTTGGGGTGGAATATTTAGTTTTAGGTAACAGGTTATGTAACTGCGCTTTTCTCTCTGGCCTCTACTCCTCCCTCAGAGGAACTCCCTTAAAGGTATCATGTGCTAGAGCCCATCAGTGAATTTAAGCAGTCCTCCCAGCATCTCCAAGAGAAAGATCTTTTTCTCATGTGGGAAAATTCCAATCTAAAAAAAAAAAGAGAGAGAGACCTGCCATCATAGCTTTCTGACCCTTTATTAATGTGCCAACAGCACATTCTGAAGAATCCAAATATTCAAATGAGGAGGCAATTAACTAGGTATAGCAGTCTACATAATAATGATGGGTTGTAGGATCTCCCAAGGGAGAGCTGTTCCCATGTTTTTCTTATGAGGTCATTTTTAGGAAAGGAGGGGGGACAACAATCAGTGGACTATCTTACAGGAAGTTTAGTGGTTTATAATAAAGCCTGGGTAGATAAATGACACAGATGCAACTCTGTGGATATCTGTCAGCTTCTAAAAATTTCAGTCCTGCTGGATCCCCAGAGTAACACATTTTCTGTTTCACTGGTTGTGTTCCCTCCTATAATAGAGATGCTAAAATTAAGGGCATTGTATGAAATCGGAAGGCTTAGATATCACTCACAAACCTTTGGGAATTATATCCTTTATAAAATAATTCATGTTTTAGAATAAACTGCCCTTTGAAAATGGGGGATTGCTCAAGTAGAATTTTGCTTTTAGTTGGTGCCTTGGTGAACAGCTTTGCCCCTTGATCCCCTCTATCATACCAAGACAGGATCATTTCTCCACTGGTGGAAAAGCAAATGGTAATCAGCTATTTACAATGCTTGCAAATTGATATCTCCTTGGAACTTGGTTGGCTTTCAGTAAGAAGGAATGTCAGGTGGGCTAGAGAGGGGTTAAACACTGGGTAGGTGAGAGAAAGCTTAGTGGAGAGAATACATTTATAAACCCTTTGAATTTTGTTTTTAGGTAGGAGCTGCACCAGTAAGCAGAGATTGGGAAAAACAAAAAAACCAAAACAGAAACCAGAGTGGCTTACTGTCTATCCTTCCCTCCAAATAAGCACATTTATTATGTAGTTATAACTGCAAAGACTGCTTTTTTAAGTGATACCCAAACTCCAGCATCTTTACTGTAATAATCGAGATGAGTGATTGTCTTAAGAAGGATTGGGGAGCCAGACATTTTAGAAGCAAAGGCAGCCTCAGTTGGTGAGGTGGCTCTCCCAGAGAAAAGAGAAGGGCCAACATTTTGTTGGGCACTGATGGGGACGCTGGACGTGTTGGGGGAGGAAGGTCCACACATGCTTTTTCTCCTCACAAGGCAGCTTTGGCTCCGGGTACAAAGTAAGGGAGACTGGAATGGATTTCAACAATCGTTTACAGAAGATCTTTAAAATTAGTTTAATAGCTAGTAATTAACTCCCTAGTTTATTATTCCTTCAGCTCTGCTGAAGCCTGAACCCCTTTATAACGTGTCTCCAGCTGACGGGGAAATACTGACAAAGGTCAGATGGCGAGGTAGAACCACCTTGGAGGTTTTCTTCGTGCATAATGAAGGAAAACAAACTTAGCATTCGAGCTCGGCCGCCCTAGCAATTTACTGCCTGGTGCTGGTCTTTCCGCGGCAAAGGAATGGAGGCTGGGGGAAAAGAAAGGAGGGATGTCTAAAAATACAACTGCTTCCAAGAGAGACGTTCAAGTTCTCGGCTCATGATGGATTAAGCCCCACTCGGTGTCTGCGGCTCCGAGCCCACAGGACGGGCAGCGCCCTGCCCTGCCCGGGTCCTTAATACCCCCGGCCCCTCCCCGGCAGGGCAGCGAGCCCCCTTGCCCTTCCTTTTAGGTCTGCTTATTTATGTTGGAGTCACATGAGTGCAGCAGCTGGGAGTCCGCCTCTGGAACGAAGCCAGGCGGGAGCAAAGTGAGGGCAATCCTGAACTCGCTTGTATCCGGGCAGCGCGTGCCGCGTAGCCCGCCCAGGAACACGAGTGTCCCGAACCCCCGCGCGGGTGACCCGGGCTGGGGCCGGGGGCTGGGGACGGGGCGCCGGGGGGGACAGACAGAACGGCTCAAGATGGCAGCGCTGGAAGCCAAGAATATCGCTCACTTACCCGGGAAGACGGGGGCAGCTCGGGGCCGGCGAACGGGCGCTCGGGCGACACAAAGGAACCATGGAGAAACTTTTCGAGCCGGAGCCGCCGGCGGAGCGCGGGGACAGCGCCGCGGGGCCCTCGGTGCGCGCGCGGCTCAGCATCCCGGCGGGGGCGAGCGTCAGCCCCGGGTGCGCATCCCTCTCCGGCGCCGGGGCGGGAGCCATTTCCCGGAGTTTCCAAGAAGTGTCAGGTCCTCTGCATCCCGCATCCCGCCCAGAGCCACTCTCCCCGCTGCCCCGGCCCCTAGTCCGGCCCTGCCTGCTGGTCGGCCCCGCGCCTCTTTGTGCGGCTTGTGCGCGCCGGGCACCGCCGGGTGGAGTTGAGCCCGCGGTGGCGGCGGCGGCGGCGGGGAGAGCGGCTCGGGGCGGCCGGACCCGCGGCGGTTGCTAAGAGACCGGAGCCATGACACAGGGAAATCGCTGCAGGATGGCAGTCGGTACCCGGCCCGGCTCGGCGGCTCGGATGGGCTTTTGTGGTCGCTCCCCCGGACTCGGGCAGCTGGGGCTCATCGGAGATTAGAATCGGCTCCGGGGCTCTCGTTTGGCAGCCCCTCCTGCTCCAACACGCGCGCTCACCAGCAAGCTTGCAAAGGAAAACTACAATTCTCCAGGAATCAGGGTTAGCATCACAGACGGGAGGTGGGGGGAGGGAGGCCGTCCAAACTCCCTACGTCATTTTTAAAAAAGCGAGAGGGGGAGAGGAGTCCTGTTTCCTGGCTCATCTGTCCTCTCAACTGTAAAGTAAAAATGACAGGGAAGCGAGCATTTCAAAGTGGAATTTCCCCATGGAGAATTGAGAAGAAAGTAAGAAAGATTTCAATTATCTATTGAAATAGGGCAGCCAGGGTTCAAGAAGAAAGCAACAGAAGAGCAGGTGCACTTTGGGGCCCAGAGAGAAATACATTGCTGGGGTGGGGGGGGGGGGGCGGGGCGGTGGAGACTGTTGTGTATCCTGAGTTTGCTTGTTCAAATGTCCATGGAGCCCACCCGGGAGGGCCTTGCTGCCCGCAGTGTCAGGGACGAGATTGTTCCTCAAGGTACACGGCATCCTCTTGTGTTTAATGCTAGAGCTTGCACTTTGCAAAAAGAACAATGAAGACCAAACATTTATGGGTTTCAAGACGGAAATGTGGACACTGAGGTGTGAGGTGGGTGTGGAGACGGTGGGGAGACAGGAGGGGATGGAGGAGAAATATTTCCTCAAAGGAAACCATGCATCTGCATGTTTGGAAGGTGTCCTCTGTGTCTCTTTCCAAGCAAATATTGAAGCTGGATAATGATGGGGTGATCAGAGCCCACCTCCTTCTACCTCTGTTCCCACTCAGACACTAGAAAACAAGTCAAAATGAAGGGAAAGTTTTCAGTTCCACAATAGAGTGTTTCCTTTTAGAAAAATCACTGCAAAGGAGAAATCACTTGGTCTAGTAGTCATTTTCAAGGTGGTTTTTTTTTTTTTTTTGGCTCTGAACATCTAGACTTCAGGCAGATTCTTTACCCACTGTGCCATCAGAGAAGCCCTCTAGACTTCTTGAATCCCAATAATAATCTGGTGATTTGCACAAAGACTGGCTCTGAGATCTGATTTCATTACACAACTGGCTGCCAGGGGCCACGGGGGCAACTCCTATCCTCATTGGCCTCTGTTTGCTGAGCTGTGTAAACAGGAATGGCATTGCAGAACTTCATTAGGGCCTGAGGTGGATTAAGCCATTAACAGTTTCAAATTTCAGCAGAAATGATAATCATCATTGGCACAGTTAAAATTCATCTGAGGGATTTAAGGAGAAAGGAAAAGAATGCTTTTCTAGACAAACAGGCCTTGGGACATACTTTTCTTCTGTGGATGACTGCAGTAAGATTCATGGTTTATTATTCAAAGGCTTCCTTCCAAACTGGAGTTCTTTGGAACTTTGAACTGTTTCGTTTCACCTGAGTGTATCATCTTCAGTTATTTTCTTTGTTTTCAGCTCAGGGTATCA